TAAGTTTATTTAGGTGTAGGGTCCAGCTGGACAGTACATTAAATGATAATCATAAAAAAATTCATCAAAACAAAGAACACTATTACACCAGCTGCATGAAATAAATGCCATATTAGTACAATCATTTGAAGAACATTTCATATCATTATGAAAGTTGAAGCACACTTCCTTAACATTGCGAAAAACTGGTCTATCTTCTCCGTCCCAGATCCCACTCGAAAACCAACAGTACTTGATCATATTTCGAAATACGGGGGCCGATAATAAATAATGTACAAGAGATTGCATTTTCAACAAGCCGTCTCTAGTCAGAAGTTGTGGTGTTGGAGTTTTAGCGTGCACGCTTTCAAAAGAATAAAACTGTCTGGCCAAGTACTTCAGCTGTCGGTGGAAATAGGTATCTAGCGGTTGGCAAACATCGGTACAGTGTTCGGGAATAAATCTGACATCCATATTAAGATCATCGGTGCATCGAGATGTGTAAAGTCTTCTGTCTGTTTGGCCTGTCCACATATCTTGAATATAAAGTAAATTTCCATTCCGATTATTGACGATTATTTCATCCAGAAATTCTTCCACCTTACTTCGATTCAGTTTCCCAGATTTTGTGCAGGTCACATAAATATTTGGAGCAATAAACATCGTATCCAGCACTCTTGGTCCAAATGTGCCATCGTTTTCTTGCAGACATATGAATACAGGGTCAAGGATATCTCCGGCATATGTTATAACATATTGAACTGTGTAACTGTGGGTGCATTTGTTTTTTGGCGACGAACAAGAACCAAATGTATATCTCTCCCCTTGTGTCGATAGTGTTCTAGCTGATACCATTTCATATCGGAAGCCTGTTTGGTCTGTATTAAATATTTTGTTGTGTGCAAAGTTCTTGAGTAGTGGAACAATCTGCGCACGGAAATCTTCAGCATCCTGTTGTATGTCCTCAACTTCCTTTACAGCACGGAAGCTCACAAGTTTTTGAATTTTTCGTGAAACAATTCTGTTACGTCGCTTGAATGTGTTAAGCCACGAATGAGACGCCTTAAACATTAATCCGTTAAATTCTGACGCTTTGAGTATCGCCCACTTCTTCAAATCCATATCGTGAACAGGGAGATATTGTTCCCTACATAACTTAAATTGTTGATAAACATAGTTTTCGATTTCTATGAATAATTCGTATTTCGTCCCACCCATCTCAATTTGCTTTTTCCATCGGTTTATATAGTTGGGTTGACGTACTTTGCTGAAATTTTGTTGGAATGTCAAGAATTTCCACCCCGGATGTCTTTCAAATTCTTCAACTGCCCGTTTTTTATATTCCATTGAAACTTCAGATAGTAGTATATAATTTCCTTCTTGGTCAGTATATGGTTGGAACGTATCGTCCTCACTTGGTCCGTCGCCTAAATATATTTTGACACACTATTAAAACACTTTATATATACAAAATAAAGCAAGACACCTTACCATTTTCATTTTCATCGATGAATATAAATTCGTGAGTTATGTCGTGTAATTTTTCAAGCAGTAATTGTGCCAATTCTTCCTCTTCAATATTAGGTGGTGTTTCGTCATATGAATATGTATTTTTAATAATTTTAACGAGAGCATTGGCAACTGATAAAAAATTAATGCTGTCCATTTTACAAGAAATAAAATTATAGTAGTGAACGAATGAGGAAGTAAAAAAAGTGAGTGAGAGAAAATATGGCGAGAGTGAGTGAGAGGTCATTTCTGGAGAAGCGGTGGGACGGGAGTCAGCGCGACTCGCATAGGAGGGGCCGTCACATTTTTCGTCACTTCGTGACGTAATAGCACGTCAACGCTTGAGTATTGGAAAAAGTTCCAAAAGAAACGTGTCTTGTGATTTGTAGACTGATTTTTTGGTATACGTCTCGTTCAAATCCCAGTTTTACATGAAAAAAACCTGCATTGTGAGATAAAAATGTGTGAAATTTACTCTACATAGGTTTAGTAAAAAAGGAGGATGACACAACAATTGTATAAAATTTATTGAATCGTTAGACAAAAGAAATTTAATCGTTTTGTTCATACAGGTGATTTATTTTAATTAATGTTCACTGAACATTTTAAAAATAATCCTAGGAATGTGTTATAATAAATATTTACAAAATAATCGACTCGATATGATAATAACTGGCGTTGCAAGTGCAGAGACTTATTTTCCAGTTGTGTGTTGAAAGCAGGGAAATGGATGGACACCTTAGTGGGTATTGTTCTCAAAATAAATCGTGTAGCCACAGTTTTGGAATATGTATACCTATAATCTTGAAAACCAAGATTCATAGCAGAGATTTTATTCGGATTAGTCTATCGACGGTAATCAGGACACGATTGATTAGACTCCAGTATCCGTTATTAATGCTTTGATACATTCAATCTCAGTTTTGTCAGTTGTGGAAACACGAGTGAGTGTACCAATATTATTTTTTACTGTACAATGCGGCGTCTCTGATTCAGAAATATAAATATAATTACAGTCTAGCACAGCAAAATTGTGTAAGTGCATGATGTGACATACTTCGAAGCAGCGGCGTAGCCAAGGGGGGTAGGGGGGCTTAAGCTCCCCCCCAGGACCGGAACAATTAAAATCAAAATAACGTAAAAAAAATAAAAAATACAAATAAGGTAATCAGCTTAAAAAATAAATATTAGGCTATCGAATGAAGTTACTTAACTATGTTTGGTATTTCCTTATTTCTTCTATATCACTTTACTAAAAATGAGTATCTAAGCATCAAGTGGTTTCCTCCGATTTCGGCGAAAAATATAAATGAGACTCGTTCAAAATGTCAAAACGTCGCACACATAATCGCACTGCGGTTCTCGCATGTCTCTCGCGAATTAGTCAAAATATCCAAATTAGATGACTAGCACAAATATATTTTGAAGGTAAGCCTGCCTTACATGAGGCGAACCAGCCTTCCACGGAGTCTGGGGGTGGGGAGTAGTGGTGAGGAGGGATTGGAAGGAAGTCCTCCACGACCTGAATAGAAAAATCAGGCCATGGTTAGCTGTACGAAAAGCAGATATGGCTACTATCCTCCCTCACCTAACATTACTTTCTGCTTCCGATGCTGGCAACGCAATTTGTTGGAAAATCCATCTGCAAAAAAACACAAAAGATGTTTTCAAATACTAAATTTACATAAAAAAGAGTTCACTTGCTATTATTATTATTACTCGGCTATGGTGGTAGTAGTGAGAAACAAAGTACGAGCCGGCTGGGTTGTGAGCGACCGAGCGGTGCACACAAAGACATGTAGTTCACATAGATCACTCAAATCACTTCAATGTTAAAAACTTAAAAAAATGTTTGAGTAAAACGAAATCGCTGATTTAACTTTCCTCGTCCTCGTTTGTCGTCTAGACAGGTTCATAATTGGGTCAAATTCTGCCACCCAATTCTGGTGCCGCTGTTGCTGGTGTATTGCACAAAAGAATGCCAATTTTATTCAATTAAATTTCAATACCTTATAAGAGAAAGTCAATCTCAACGTATGGCACTTAAAATGTTACCATCTTCTCAGCACCAGATATCCAATTCCATCAGTTTACGAAAGTTATTGACAGTGTAGAACAAGAGTGCACCATTTAAGGAATTTCGGCTTCCCTTACAGTACTATTCCTCATTCATCAAGGATAAGATGAGGAAGAGTGAGTAACATGATGTTACTAACATCCTACATTTTTGTGCATCAAATACACATTACAGCAAGAGTAACTTTCGTTTCACGTTAATTGCTTCAGACAATAATGCATTTAATATGCACTGCAGTCCCTTCTGTATTTAGACACCATTCTAACACCAAGTTTGCGCCGTGTCGCACCGTTGAGAAGGAGGAGCCACCCTCACACCCACGACTAGATATAGAATTACATACATCTTGATACGTGTGAGGTGATGTGTCGTAGCAAGTGTTTGTGAGTGCTATGAATCATTTTTACTTTGTACAAGATGAAAGGGAATGACTAACAAATGTGTCATATTTCTGATCGTATTGTTGACGACTCCCGGTACACCAACATAGGGACCGACGTCGCCACTAAGTTACCATGGATTGTATAAATTCTCTGTCCCTTCTCCGAAATTATTTTGGGATTATGAAAGATGGGACCGATCTCTGTTTCCCGGCATTTATTCCTCCAACTCGAAAATATTTTGAGTAATTGGATTCAAGGTGAATTGCCCTTTGTCTCCACCACCTGAGGATGGAACGCTGGAATATGGGGTCAGAATAATATTATACACATCTGTACATGCCATGCATTATCATGATATCGCAGTTTGTATCTTGGTAATGGCTGTTTCTGCTGCTGCAGCTGTCATGTGGAAGAGGAAGAGGGAGCGACGACTGCATTACGAGAACGCTGATGATATGCAGTGTTAGATAAAGCGGATGAGTGAAGAAGGGAAAGAAGTGTACACAATGAGTCGCAAACCAAGGCTAACTTTATTATACACAGGGTTCGGGTATTCATACCCGACATTACCACCGACTAGCTTTGAATAATTTGTTAATCAAATTATTCGACAAATAAATACAACAAATTCGATTACCAATAAATTGAACACATTATGATTACAAGCTTTTCCAAATAAAAGTCATCTTATATGAATTTTAAGCATATACATACTTAATTACTACACCCGACAACCATTTTTCGTACAAATATCGATTGACATTGCTATCTGGGTCAATTCTCATTGTCTAACTGCTCGCTTTTCATGAATAAAATTCTAACTTGAGCGTGCACACCGTAATAATTATAACATTACGCTACTGCATGCGTGCCTTCTAAATAACTATGTATGTAGCCTATACATACTACTGTTAAAGCTGCTGCTAATAATATTATTCTTGCTGACAGACATACAGCTTGTTGTGCAGTAGTTGCTATGTTACAGTTATGTATATCCATCCATACTGTAACATATGTTGCTGCCCACCAGTAATGCATAAACACGACAAGAGTGACGCCTAAAATTATACTGAGTGCAAACGGTGTTGCAAACACCCATTCGTCAACAATGGATAAAATTGAAATAAATGTCGATTTCGCACAGCAAATTCTAAATATCCTCAAATGTAAGGAGAAACAACCTGTGCACAACAATGAAGACAACATACACACAGTTATAGAGAATTTGCAACTATTACGAAATAATGGTGGACCCTCCAACGTGCAAGCTGAAAAATCGCGTAAAATCCCAACCTCAACTGAGCTTAACAAAATTGACGAATATCAGTGCAAACAGTGGGACCTTCCATTCACGGATCTGTCAGAATTACGTGATCACTTTCGAACTATCCACCGAAGAATAGTGGTCACAATTGATAGTAAGCTCTTGTGTCACGATTGCCACGACTTTTATGCAGACGGCCGTTGTTTTAACAGGCATAAATGCCACCCTAAAAGCGAATTAACAAATCCAAATGATCCAATTATCGTTCGAACCAATTCCAAAAAATTAACACTAAGCTTGCGGTGTGAGCAAGAACTCTCGCTCAAGATAGCACAAAACGTGCGCTCTCGGCAGAAATAATGCTCACGACTATCTATGACCACTATTCTTCTTAAATTCAGGTTTTGATTATTGTTGCCCCTTTATACATAACGCCGAACGACAAGAAAAATACACAGGTAGTCCAGTTCTGTTTTTTGGAAGAGAGAAGGGCTTGTGAGTAATTTTTTCAACTTTACCTTACTTGTTTATTATTGACCAATTACTACTTTTAAAATAAAATCTTAAAAACTTGCATTAATCCAAAATCGATCTGTAATTCTTATGACCACCCTAAGTTTTTATTAATTAGCACTCGTTAATTTATTCCGATTGAATTATTTATTTGGCAATTCAGTAAATTATAAATAATTTAAACTTTGACTACCCGGTAGTCACCGGGTAGTCAAACAAGTGCTGGGTAAGCCGGGTACCGGGTAGCTACCCGGTACCCGGAACATGCCTAGTTTATATATCGCTCGGGACCACGGTTGTCGTTTATGAACCAGTCAATAGTTAACTACAATATGGTGTCTTTGTAAATATGCGGTGAATAAGGCGAAACAAATACTAGAAATAAATTATTTCGTCCCCAATTTGGATGCCGACGAAACAAATTTACCGTGCTTGTACAATTTACATCATTTACGTATTTTATACTATCATGCCAAATCGCATGATACAAACCTGGGCCATGATCCGTCAAAGATTCCTTCATTTAAGCCAAAACACTATAATATTTAGTCAATTTGCAAAATCGTTTATGATTCATTCACAGTTGCTTCTTATTGTTTCATATATGATGCCGTGTCAGGTCTTAGTAATGGGGTGAATATATGATGATGATGCTAGTATTCGTGATAGTAGAGGAGATGGTAAAAATGTGAGGGATTCGTTACAACTACGGTATATACATATATATAGCGTAATTGGTTGATAGGTTTTTGAAAGATTGGAATAGCTCTAGGAATTTATAAAATGTTTACAATAATGTAGGATGTAGATCAAACATAATTTATCGGTTAGTTGTAGTTCAAGTTGGTAGCATTCACGCGTGACTGGTCGCTCATCTCTTCTTGTCGTCGAAGTGGACACACGAACCACTCAACGAGTGAAGAATGTTCGGATCTCAGGATGAGAGAGATCAGCGTCTTAATTCGTCTGGATGCCTAATCTTCACATTCCCACGAACGGATGCAAATACCTTGAGCAAGTCTGTTGATGCTGCAAGCAATAAAGTAATTAGGCTCGAGTAAACCATATGTGACGACATGTAGTAATAACGCATCTTACTCTGAAGAGAGTGTCGATATCCACACAACTTCCACGAGGATGGACGTATTCTGTACTCCATACAATATAAATCAAATCTAAAACACAAAACAATAAGAAAAAAAATTATGATTATAGTGATGAGGTGATTATCTAGGGTAAAATACTCATAGTAAATTACTTCTCATGATACAATTTGAGCATTGTATCATCTCTCCCACGCCCAAGGTGGCGTGATGATGTTTGTGTGCTGTACCACTCCTGCAACATGTACAGATACAACAATTCCAATATTCAAGACGATACAATAGATTTGTAATAGTACTTACACCACACTGTGGTCAGGATGAGCATTAGCAAGTGTAGAAGACGTAATGTCATTGTAGTTAGTCGTAGGGTTGCCGCGGGTAGGGAAAATGCTACCCGTTACCCGACCCGCTACCCGCAGCCAAACTACCCGTACCCGCACGGGTACCCGTGCGGGTACCCGTTACCCGCTACCCGTTATGAGAATTAAGTTAAAACCTGACAAACCTTCCGAATAAATTTGATTTAATCAATTATTTCCTCATCTGGGTTGTTAAGTAGTTTGAGATAATGCTGTTTAAATAACGAATGCCATAATTTGCTAGATGTCATCACATGTTTCTGAAACCAGACTTTTGGCTTACAATGGAACCTTTTTCAAGCTACACCAGAATTTCTTAGCGAACTATATAAAAAAATCTAGTCAAAAATTAGGAATTATCGCTTGCTGAATAGCCCGTTTAAAGAAAACTATTGGGGTGGGGGTAGAGTTCAAAATCCACCATGGTTTTTGTCCAGTGGAGGAAAAAGATGCAGAACATTTACTTAAAATTTAACTTTGCCTCGTATGTTTTTCTTCAAAGTGGACATTCAACGGGAAGTATCACGCGATTCCTAATTTTTTACTTCACTTTTGATATATTCGCTAGACAGTTTTGGTGTAACTTGAATCGAGATTCAATTTTTAGTTTGATTTTTTTAAATTTTGATTTAATTGAAGGTTTCAATAAAAAATTGTCTATAAATAAAATTTTTGCTTTCGATCGGATTAGTCTTTTTCACCTTCAAAGCCCAAATTAAAATCTCGTAAATTCATAAATACACACAAATACAAGTAAAAGTATGACTGATATTTTAGAGCAGGCAAATTATACTTGAGCAACAATAATTTCTCCGCATTTTCGGGACGTGACAAGCATTTGAGGCTGCCGTAAGCTTCTGTGGCTTCCGAAAAGACACGCTCGATATAAACGTTAGTTGATTTTGAATTTTATAAATAATATGTAAATTGACGCTTTTGTTGGTAAATGGACTAACTTGCTGCTAAGTTTCTTTGTGGTCGAAAATTAAATAAAAACTGAACTACCCGTTACCCGTGCGGGTAGATCTCACTACCCGCAGATAACGGGTACCCGCAAGAATCCTGCGGGTATGCGGGTAACGGGTACCCGACCCGTTACCCGCGGCAACCCTAGTTAGTCGTAATAATTATTAGGAAGTTCTGCAACTGGAAAGTGTGGGCAAATGTGACGAAAATATGAAGTATGCAACTAATTTATATCCACCTACGACGTAGTTGTGCGTGAGAAGTGCGAATGCAAAATATTTAAAATCGCTTACTTTGCATTTATCCTTATCCTATGAATTGGTAATTGAAAGAAATTCGCACCCACTGCACATTCTGTTATTTTTCACGTCAGCACGTGTCAGTAACCGTATGCATATCTTTGCTAGTTATGAGTAGCTGCAGAAACGTAGGTACTGGAGCAAGCCAACAAGCTTTTATCACTAATTATTGGAACGCTGCACTTTTTTTATAACGTTCGAGTATATTCCCATTATTTCACTACTGTCCGTACTATTGTCATAATTGTCAGTACTCTTACTCATTAATGGTATATTTAAGCATCGAGCTATCTTTTTAATTACTTTACGCTTACATTCATCGCTTAAGAGGATTGTGTGGGAAGGGTCTATTAACATTTTATCCCGGGTGTCCGCAGTTAATAGGCTAATATTGGCTCAACTGTGTTGTTTGAAACAATGAATAGTCGTACTAAATTGGTTACAAATGTGACACCAAAATTTATGTTCGGTATTTATAACAACTTTTTCATGTTCTGCTTCAAAATGAAGTGCTTGCTCGCTTTTTTAAGATTAAAATCAAGCTTGCATGGACGACAGAATGTCGCATTCTCATTTTTATTATCTTTTGCAAAATCATAATCCCTCGCATTTTTACTTTTTTTAAATAACACCATTTAAAATACAATTTAGTACCACAGCCTCACATTGATTGTTGATCGATACGGCTTTAAGCCATTTAGAACTTATAATTCTGATTATAATAGAGAAGTTTGTATTCCTTAAATATTTTAATTCGTGCTGAATTACAACTTACTATTAATAAACTAGACCAGAATTATACCAATTATTAATGGTATAACTTTCCTGGTCACAGATTCACTAAAATAACTTCGAATAGTAGGAACTCCTTAAATTTTGCAGTTGTGGTGATGATTCTTGTTATTTAGGTTACTCGATATTATTGTCATTAAAGTCTACATAATGATTTTTTTTATATTTTGGTTCATTTTTTTTCCTACATAGCTACTCTCAATAATAAATCCTGATGGAACGACCCGACACAGATCTAGGTTTGAGACAATTTTTAAATACATACACACTTTATAACTACGATGCTAATTATTTAGCTTAGTATATGAAATTCTTATTAATTATGGATGAAACATACATGGAATCGAGTCAGGGTTGACAGGAAACAGATAGCATATTTTAGATAAGTGAAACATAGTTACATATGCGTTAGAAATTAATTTCAGTTGTTGGGATAAGTTTACAGTTCGTGAATCATAACTAATTAAGTTTTTTTGATTAGTTCCAGAAGCACTGCGCGATTGCACTCGCTCCTCTCTTCGTAATGATACGTAATCCTCTCTCGCGTCTAAGATGTAAATGCAAATGTTGCTGTCACTTCCTCTCGGAACGGAACATTTTTGAAGGATGGGATGAGTTTTGTGTCCATCTGAACCAGGGCAGGGCAAGACTAAACATTCCTTTATAATTCGCTTAATAAAAGTACTTACGCCATCAGATTCTTGCCGAATCAATCCGTCCGCCCTAATCTAAGTGCATAGTGGTACCACGTTTGTCGTGGAACCACTATGGCACCACTAATAAATACGAGGAAGAGAATTGACAACTAAATTAAAGGCAGAGGAGAGTGAAAATGTTGACTCTGATAAATTTGTAGGTGCTCGAGATGAGAAGGACTCGGGTTACGTCCCATCCAGGTCAACACACCTGGTACACAATTTACGTGTGAAACGATTAGAATTGTACTTACTTTATAAATTGAAATAATGATCCACGTATTATTTCTATATTGTAAGTATTATTTTTTGCAAAATATACCCCTAATTTCGTTTCAATATTGCTCCAATTAGGACAAAGACGATGACCGTGTACAAATATGACGGTATGACAGTTCCAACTAATGATGATGATGATTACTTAAATTTTACAGCTAAAATGAGAAAGTGAGACATTGTTATGAACTTTTTCCATGACCTTTAGTTGACTTGGATTAAAAACTCCTCTTGCACCAGGGACCATCTTTTTTAAGGGTGTATATGGCAATCCACCAAGTGGATCAATTTCGAGTTATGCCAGTTTCTACGTACACATATCTAAATATCTACTATACATATCTGGTAATGTAAATTAAAGTTTTCTACCACTTTGAATACCCTTAGATAATATTTCATCCATGTACTATATATCAACCTTTAGAACCATACACTAATTTTCACCTTATGATTTTTTTAAAACTGATCAGATTGTTTTAAATCTCTAAATCATTAAAATATAAGTGCAGGCTAGCTAGATAGATTGATTAACTCCAGACTTCTCGTCATGTTTTGAACCAGTTTTTCTGTATTATGATAAAATTTAACATTAAAGAAAGAATTTAACATTAAGAATTTAACATTAAAGAAAGATTTATTCTTATTCAGCTCTATCAGAATCAATTAGGCTAAATTTGTATTCCTGAAACTATTTTGAAAATATTTTGTGAACAGATTTACATAAATTTAATAATTTTCATGAGGAGCAAAAGAAATGAACCTTGAAATTGATTTTGTGAAAATTCTTGAAATTTTGGAAAAATTTCTGATTTCTTGTAAAATTTAAAAATTCTTTGCAACCTTAAGATTTGCTGTCGGTGGCGGATATCTTCCATTAATATGGGGGCCAACTTGCATCGATGTCGGCGGCGCCCAACGTACATCCACGTCAACGGCGGTTGCCATCAAAGTTGGCGGTCAACTTGCAGCACGTGAGTTTGTGACCGTAAACCAACCGTCGAAGTAACTAAGTATTTTGTAACAACAATGCATACACATTTACACATAATCACGGTCACCTCTACGCCGCCAGGTACATATATTTGTTCCATGCTACACCTTAGAACAGTCACTCCATTTCATTATAACAAACTTATAAAATTAAAAATCAAAAAATTGAAATGAATAAATTCACACAAATTAGTTTATTTTATGTCAAAAAACAGAACTATTTACATATATGGGCATATGCATGTACATACGAACATGCATAGGCATTAATAGTGTGTAAAATCAGAGACATTTTTGGGATTCTTCGATATTCTAAGCGCAGTTCTACCAAATTCAATTCGATTTCCAAATGCAGAAAGGTTACATCAGGTATGTATAACTTGTACGTATTTCAGTCATTTTCTCCCAGCTTGACATATTTTGTCGTAAGGGGTCGGAAACGCATCTGAGCAGTTGAGCTCTGCCCTCACTTTATTGTAGAACGTTGGATCGAACATTTGGTCACATTCGTCCCGGCTTAAATATGTGTCGGCATATGGCCCTTTCATACTGTGGAATTATGTAAGAATGCAAGTGTTAAAACATATTTTATTTATGACTATTTTTTGTAATTTTAGCAAAAATTACCAACCATTTTCCAAACAAAATTTTTCCAATGCTTTGTTGGATTTCTCATCCTCGTACTGATCCGGCTTCCCAGTGTACCCATAAAGCCCTATATCCATGTACATCTTGTCCTCGTCCACTTCAAATTTTAAACATCCCGGTTCGTTTATTGCTTTGACGGGGCAAAGCCATACCGGGTATACCTAAATTCCGTGGGTTGTACTGTCAGTCAAAATGGTTACATATAACACTTGGTCATTACATGATTTACCTCAACTTGATCGTGAAAGAATTGCAGCGCCATCTTCATCTTATCAATCGGAACGATAAAATCTTGTAGGACGAGATTTATCTCAAAGATTCGTCTGAAACAACGCGGGACAATTTTATAGGTGTAATTGTCTTCAAACGTCGTCCATCCGAAAATGTAGCGAAACAGGGGGACATCAATATAAGGGACGAAGGCTGAATAAGCCCAAAAGCCGGCGTATGAATGGCGGTGATAATAATCTCTGAGGGGGATATTTTTTGTGGCAGGTTGAGATATTGGAAGATTGATTAGTTGATCCCCAATTAAGAAACTTTGGACGTGTTTGTAGAACGATTTCTTATACCAGGCAGCAACGGAGTTTACCTAATGTATTAAATTTCAAATATACGTAAAATGTAAATAATCCCGCGTACCTTTCCAGGTTCAGATTTTGACGTCAAAGCTCCCACCATGATAACCCCTTTATCCAAGGAATACATGATCCCTTCAACAAAATCGGGCCCGGGTGTCTTAAGAGATTCGTCTGTAATCCGTTTAGTCGCTTCATCCAACGAGTTGACCGGGATGTATGAAAGTTTCACATATCTGGAAATTCATCCAGAATTTTATGTTATAATTTTTAGAAAGTAATCAATGGGGGTATTCATTACGAGGTGACATTGGAAAATAATCTTAAAAAATGCGAACCATTTAAGTATTAGAATTTAAGATGTGAAGTTCACAAATGAATTTTGAAGCCATAATTTTTGGTGAAGTGGTGAAATTTGTTTTTTTACAAGGTTTCTAACGATATATATGTATGTAAACACGATAAGTAATGAATACCCCCAATAATTTCGTTTCAATTAATTACTTTTCCGCTTTCATGATGTTAATAGTGGCAGCAGTGAGAAATCCAAGGGTCCCGTAAGAACCCGGAATGGCGTGGAATAGATCCGAATTTTCGTCCTGACAAATTAGAGACATGTATATTTATATAAATATCATAACCTGTAATTATTTGCCGGGTACATTAATACAGAATAATATTGGGAATATGCTCTCCAAATTTGTTTCCATTGATCACCAACTTAATTGTTTCGAAATTATCGAATGACTCTATCTGCCAATGCGCTCGTTTAGCAAAAACATTTGCACCCGAGGAGGAGAAAATTTAGAAGTGCCTAATGTGTCAACTTTTTAACTTCACATTGATTCCATTTTTTGATCGATTGATATTAATTTGGTGAAAGTTAGACAATATATGCTTAGAGATTTCCAGTTTAAGACAAAATGAAATTGGCACATGTGCCAAATAAAAAAAATCGTATGTGCATACCTTACTGCACCTGACCACTTGACCTGACGAAAGAACAACCTCGTATGAGGTGCACGTGTTGTGAAAAAATCCATATTTATGGGATGAGGTTTCCAACCCGGCCCCACAAATTAATCCCCCCACCGTGAGAAACTTAAACTCCGGCACGACCGGGATCGTGTACCCCTTTGATCCCAGTATTCTCGTTAATTGACCCATTTTCATTAACGGTTCGACAGTCATTGTCTGTTAAAATGAGAAAAAAATATGCGTATTAACATATGTAAATATTTGAAAAATATATTACTGTCAGTTAATTGACCATGGATTTTTCGTCAATCGTCACGATGTCATCCAGCCTGGACAAATCTATCCCGGTCATGGTATCCTTGTAGACGGGCGTTCTCAACGACATGGTTGCCCATCCGGGTCTCGCCGTGCATAATTTGGTCCGTCTCCCAGCCTTGTTCCAGGCCTTAATCTATAAAATTGTATGTACGATTAATATTGAAAATGAAATTTAAATTTCGAAAATTGTCTAAAGTCTGGATTTTGAAGGTGTTTGTGCGTTCACCTGATTCTGGACATGCTCAACTTTTTTTCATGCAATTCAGGCGAATTTGCCACTTTAAGCTTTGCACAAACAAACTCTATCAAGTAACAGAAAGGCAGGGTGAGGGCTCGTAGCAGTGTAAAGCATGCTGAAACGTAATATCTCGAAATGTGTAGAAATATACGCTCGAAAAATGTGGGGTGCGCCATTTCAATCGATTGATATAATTTATTTAAGAATATTTAAGCAGAATCTTAGGATTATTTAGTCAAAAGATTAAACTGGACGGAGTAGTTTTGACTTTGCACATTCTCCAACTGAATTTTTGAGCTGTGTGTTTGTAATTATGCTTGGATGTAAATATACTCGTATATACATGCATACATTCATGCACAAATCCATTGGCCACGGAAGCATGGGGACAGAGGGGCAATGCCCCGACGGTAGATCGATGTTCCCATAACCTCCTCATGTTATGTAAACCTTCCCTCCCCTATCCTACAAAGTTAATGTCCCCACAGCTTCCACGGCAACTGGACAAATCGTCTTGTATAGCTCCAGATTTGCATGGTCATATCACAGAACTAGTTATTGGTGTAGATAGCTAAATGAAAATTTGAGGGTGTCTGAATACGTGCATATTAAATGTGCAAGCAAGCACACACACGCGGTAGAAACCCCTACTTTGACGTACCTAACTTACCTAAATACATACATACATATACCAATATACGTAATTCAGCTTGGGTTTGCTCAAATTCATGAAAATAAAACTGGTGCTACATAAATACTTTCGTTGTTATTCAGCAACGTAATAAATACCTCGCAAAATGACCAGGTGACCGATACATATTTATACATATGCATGCAAACAATCTTGGTGACCTTGTGAGTGTTGCAAGAACCTGAACGACTTAGGTGTGTACATATTTATCTTGGGGCTGAACCAGAATGCGTATATTTTTACTCACATTTCTTGAGTCAACGATACATGTATGTACATATGTGCATATGTTGTATGTGCATATTAAGTAGGGAAATTGCAAATACGTTTGACAAATCCTGGACCATTTTCGGGGGACAAAATCTCACCGTTATGAAAACTCAAAGCATGCTTTAATTCCTCTTCGTATGCAAATATGTAAATATTTATTTTTCCAAACCTGCGAATTGGACAATGGTTTCGTTTTGAAATGTCATACCAACCAATTGAATTTGTGACAGATTAAATCAATTAGATTTATACTAACTTGGCCAAAATCGGAGAACATACATACATTGGAAGATCTCCATTGTCGGTATGTAATATGTTCAATGCATTTTTGTACGTAAATTTGATCCAGTTATCTAATCTAATCAGTATCACGCCCTGTGATAATGATGATTCTTTCGACTAAATCCACATGGAAACATGTCTGCATACTTCACTTCACTCTTACATCTCACCGACCACTCGGTCGATAGTCGTATTTCGGGAAATAAATTTCCATTTCAAAATGTTCCCGAGAAATCCACGTAATTGGGAATTACGAAACCACTTAGTCCCCATTAAGTGCATTGGGGGCGGAAGTTTCGGCACGGTTTGGGAAGCTTATCATTCTATTGATAAGGGTTCCTATGCCATTAAAACCGTTGGAATTAGTGCAACGTTGAAGCTACAGAATTACAAGATATGTCAGGAGGTGAGGCTACTACAAAGTTTGGATCACACAAATATCGTCAAGTATCACGACTCTTGGGTGGAAGGACCTAACATAGAAAATTTATTGAAAAAAGAAGAAAAATTTGACCAAACCGGAAGTTTACCCGACGATTATCACGGAGATAGCGAATTAAGGTTGCACCACACTATATATTGTACAGGGTGGTTTAAATGTCTCACTACAATGGGAAATTTTGCAAAGGGAAAATACCATAAATCTCCATTAGTTCGGAGGAGTTGGGATTACGATTTTTATCAATTATTGTCAAAAATAATATTTTTAAAATGTTAAATTTTAGAGACCAAATGTAGGAAATTAATGGAGATTTACAAATTTTTCCAATTGAAAATTCGTTCGCTGCGAGACATTTAGAGGATCCTGTATACTAATTGTACTCTGTTTCCTCTAAATACAAGATCCCAGAATTTAAGAATCTCATGTTAGTAGATAAATAAGTCATTCAATCTAATTTCCACGCAAATGCTAAATCGATCATCGGCGTGCATAAATGAGGGACTTGCGGCGTCTATGTGTGAATTTTGTGTAGAAAACCTTAATTTGCAATTTCCTTATTATTCCCACAGTTCCACACAAGACGAAACAAACTTTCTCTTTATTCAAATGGAGCTGTGTGACACGGATTTGGCCAAGTGGTTAAAAAATCTCCCACCCGACACAAATTTGGAAACCCGTCCAACCTCTGCAAACCATTGTATCCTTGACATTTCTCACGGTCTGAAATATATTCACCAGAGAGGAATAATCCATCGTGACTTGAAACCGGAAAATATTTTCGGGACGCCGGGACTCCGAAAACACTGGAAAATTGGAGACTTCGGATTATCAACTAAATATCAAGAACAAGATTTACAATCGCATCGTGGCACGAATTTGTATGCTAGTCCGGAAATGGCGAATAGACAAAAGTATACTGAGCTAACGGATATTTTCAGTGCGGGTTTGATCTTTCTGGAAATAATTCATCCGTTCGACCCTACCGAAAAGAGAAGCATATTTTATGAAATTAAGTCTGGAAATACAAAATATCTGGAAACTACTGGCACCCACAATTTGGTCGAAATAATCTGGAAAATGTTACACATCGAGGCAAACTTACGACCCAGCGCTTCTCAAATTGTGGATGAATTTGAATTATTAAAACAGAACAACAATCGCAAAGTTTCTGGGAAAAGGTTAACCTATCCTTACCCAATCTTCACCCCATCTGAAAACGGACAATATGACGGACTTATCTTTGGGGTGGGCGACGTCTGCAAAACATTCGTCGGCCGTGTTAAGGAGTTAAGACGACTCGAGGAACTGTATAAATCTGGTGAAGCTCTTATCACTCTGACGGGAATGGGAGGCATTGGAAAATCCGAACTGGCAAAAAAATTCGCATTTGACCTACATAAAACACACGGAAATCCGTGTGTATGGCTTGACGGAGAAAATATAGAACAGTCTCTGAACAAATTATGTAAAAATATTGGCATCCCCAAAACCGGCAATGATTTAGATACGGTCACCTTTGGTCTTCTTATGGTGAAAAGATTGGCCTACAAATCCAAAAACCAACTCCTTCTTATAATTGATAACGTCGATGAAATAAATAAAATCGTGAATGACCTAATTAAAGGGTTAAGAGCGGAGAAAATGTCAGCTGTTACGTTGGTAACGTCACGAAATGTAAATGTGTTTAAATCCGCGGAGAAAACGGTTAAATTGCACGAGTTTACAGAGCTGGAAGGAATCGCCCTCCTAAAATCGCAATTTCCAACCGAATCTGTGTCAGACATTGCGAAGCTGTGCGAATTGTTGGACAACTTCCCGTTAGCTTTGCAGCAAGCGGTGGGGTTCATTAAACAAAGTAAAAACGTGGGTCCTCTCGGAGAGTCGTTTAAAATCAAAAATTTATTAGAAATTTATGAGAGGAAGAAGGAGCAAATTTTGAATTATCAACTGGACAGTATTTATCACGCGTATCCGAGCACATGCCTCATCACATGGGACATTTCGATGGAAAAAATTAGAAATGATGTGGAAAATGGTGAAGCAGCTGATAAGTTAATGCATCGTCTAGCGTTTCTAGAACCGGATGGAATTGACTTAAGGTGGAATAACACCGGCATAGATTTTTAATCTCATTTTACCCCTGTTAAGGTTAAATGTGGTTCAATGCAAATTTCTAAGTTTCAACAACATTTAACCTCATAAAATAAACGCGATTTTGGAAATTTTCATTTTAAACATTGAAGAGGGGAGAGTGAGATTAAAAATCTATGCCACATCAAATCATCATCCTATGAAACCTTAAGATTCTTACAGTATTTCGACAAAGAGCGGACAGAAGATGCCGTTACCCTTTTGAAACTTCATTCCCTCATAAAAAGTGAGAACAATGTCGTCTCGATTCATCGATTAGTGCAGGAAGTGACCCGCTTAAAACTGGAAATTGACGTGGAACACGAAATTCTTCGGCAAATGGGTGAAGTAATTCTGAAACATTTTGACACCTTTGAACCGCACGATTTCAACCATGTGATCCGTTTATGGCATCACATTCAACAGGACGAAGTAAAGTTTCACAATTTTATGGGATTGCCCATGACCTCCTTAGCGCCAAAAATGGATAAGTTTCCAATGTACAAGGCAATGCGTGAAGTGTTAATTAGAGGACTTGGCTCGTTACAGAGACTCGAAAAGTACGACAAGCTGGGGTACATTAGCCTCTACGCGGCGCATAAATTAGCTCGTGCCCTCCAATTCAGCGGGAGGTATGACTTAGCTTTGGAAAAATACCGACAAATTTATTCCCGCCAATGTGCCCGGTATGGATTGGAGAGCGAGGAAAGTATTTCATCAGGTAAATCAATAGCTGATTGCTAGAAATTTGTTGAAAAAGTGCATGCTAAGAAGTTTTATCACCGGAACTGACAATTTTCACCTAACAATTCCCACTCAATTTGGAAAACGGAACTGCTAGAATTTATTCCATGATTACTACATTTTGAGTAAGAATTGTTGAGTGTGCCAGTGTACTTTATCATTTATCAATAACCGGTGACTGTATATATGTATGTGACTCTACCTGATGGTGATCAAACATCGCCACTCGGTCACCGCATGGAAACAAACGACCAGAGTAAAAGTAAAAATTATGTTTTTGTCTTGTAGGAAAAGCAATCGCTGTTAACCTGTGGTATTTAAAGCGATACAAAGAATCCACCCGACAATATAAACAACTCTTGGCGGCCTGCGCACGCGCCAAGTTATGGGACGCGGAAAGAACTTCGCTACTTTTAAAGAGCGATCTCAGCATTTTACTAGTATCACAAGGAAAACTGTCAAAAGCGGCCATACAACTGGGCGAGGTTCTGGAATATCTGGACAGAAAGGGGAAAGGGAAGGATCCCGTGGCTTTGATGCTTTATGGAAACGCACTCTTCCGCTTGGGTCACTTTCGAGATGCCTTAAAAGCTCATGAAGAATCGGTCCATCTCCACGAAGCCGTCTGGGGGCCGTATCACTGCAAAACGGTGGCTTCCAAGCTGTCTTATGCTCCCGTGCTGTTCATCCTAAACAAGGGAAACGTTGCGATTGAAATGTTGGAAAATATTATGGGTCACGTGGACGAGGAATATGCCGACAAGATCAAGGAGCTAATTAGAGTCATGAAAATGTTTAAACCACTATTTTGGAAATATTCTCCACTAAGGTTTTTTCTCTCAAACGTTTTATTTATTGCGTCAAGGCACTCGGTCATTAGGCCCATTGTCCCATTTTGTGAAGAAACTATCCTCCCCGTTCTTATAAATGGCAAGTATATTGATAAAATTACTTATTTTGTAAAGGTCGCATTCATTGCTTTAGTCATGGTGATTTGCATTTTTATACTTTAGCATTATGATTTAAGTGCGATTATGTTGGTGTCTGAGAAAGTTCGAGGATCATTGTTCCAAAATTTTAGCCAATTTAAATACATAGATAAGTTACAATGCTAGAATAGTTTTTGTATGTACTGCGTATAATTTACTTAAAAAAGTCAGCCACTTTTGGTGAGTGACGAAATTGTTTTGAAATTTCAATTTAATTTCGCTTCCAAGTTAATAAATTTATTTATTCCTAAATTCAACAACTCGTTTTGATGTTGATTTGAAGATTCTTGTAATTTTAGAATTATTGCTGGGTTCCGGCCTCCGGACAAAAAATATTCCAGTAAAAATTTGAGTTTTACTTATTTGTACATGTGTACGTAAATGTACATATGTATGTATGTGTAAATGTCTGTTTGTTACATTGTTAAACTAGCCAAAAATACTGGAAATGCCTAAAAGATGAACTGAATAGATTATAAATACATACATGCTTAAAGATATTTCCCTGGAAGGAGAAAATCCGAATTTGTTACATAAAAAACATTAATATCATATACAATGAACAAAATTACATAGTAAAAAATTTAAAAATATTTCTCCACCAAACCTTCCCCCATTTCGATGGCGCCATTAATAGTTTCAAAAGATAGGAGCGTCGTGGCATAATAAAGTCCACCGTTTCCTTGAATGGCGTCGAAATCTTGATAAAATCCATTCCGCATGGATTCTCCAGTCACGTGGGGAAAGTATTCTGTCGCCCGGGTAAAAAGCGTGGTGGCGAAGGGATGCATCTTTTTCAACGTTGCGTTCAATCTTCCCGCCATAGTTTCGATTTCTTTTCCCTCAGCGATTGAATCGTAGTGGCCGTAAATCCATGAGTATGCGGCATAGCAAACTTCATCCTTTGTAAAAATATATACGTTAATTTAACTTTTGAACGATACACCTGTTCAAATTCATTAAACTAAATTTGAGAAATTAAAAAAATAGCAGAATTCGAAAAAATTATTCTTTCATTATTCACGTATTCAGAATTTTAAAATAATTATTTATTCATTATTCACTTATTTATTATTCATTTTACCTCAAATTTTCTTTATTAGATGGATTTCTCAATGTACCCCATGAGGTACAAAGTTATTCCTTCATTGCTCATGAATGTGAAGTGAATAAATCATTCATTCAATATTCATTCAAACCTTTTGCAGCATTTATTCACCAATTATTCAAAAAAAATTTTATTGAGTGCATCTCTCAACTTACCCCTTTATCCTGTCTCACTAGCATAACGGGCCCTCCATCACCCAGCGGGTATATTATTTTTGGAATTTCGTCCCGCCTAAAATCTAACCCAATCTCGGGCACAAATCCAGTATAAGTTTGCCTTTTCAAGTTCGTAATTAAAACCCCGCTGACCGCATACTTGTTAATTTTAACTTGGTCAAGAACCCGCCTTTCCGCGAAACTTAGGTCGCTCACTAAAACTCCCAAATTTCTTAGCAGCGGGGGGAATGCAAGAATCGTTTTACTACACGTCACCCCCGCCGGCGATTTTCTCCCTGCCACGCTAAAAGTCACGTGCTGTTGTCCTTTACTCCTCGTGATATCGATCGCCCGCCAACCAAGAATCGGTTTTTTTCCGGATCCTCCCAGCAAACCGGGTGACAAACGTGTCAAACCCTTCCAACGGTTGAAATGGGGTTCCCCCGATTTGAAAATATGCTTCCGCTTCGTCCCCCACGACGGGCTTTAGTGCTTGTAAAATCGGGGCGTCCTTCACATCTCCGTATCCATCCGCGGTAAACTGTCCCGCCAAAATGGGGAGGAGTAAGGATAAGTTCCGGTCGTTATACCAGGTCTCAATTGGGGTCGACAATGCCGCCAATTTTGATTGAAACAGGGGCGAAGTGTACCCCAGTTCTAGGGCGGGAGCTAGTTCGTACCAGTATTTCTTATATCGATTTGTCGCCTCTTGCACGATAGCCTTTAGTTTGGCGGAAGCTTCAAATTTTGGGAAAATCACGCCACTTTTCGGATTGAAGAGAGACGTGTCGAAATTATTGTATGGAATGGAGGTTATCTTTAATTCGTTCATGTAGCGGAAGGTGTGGGTCATACTGCGGTAATAGGCGATCGGACCGGTCTCGATAACCCGGGATTTGCGAGAACTTCCGGTGGATCGGTGAGTGACAATTCTCCCGCCAAGGGTTTTCTCAGCTTCGTACAGGTCGACGTTTGTGTAACCTTTGGATTGTAGTGCGGCCGCTATGGTGAGACCGCTAATGCCGCCACCGATGATGCAAATGTGACCGTTCTGGTCAAGGGTGGAAGTGAGGGGGGAATAAATTAGTAAAATTGTGGGTAGTGCCACCCAGAAAAAGGGAATATGTTCCATAATGGAAGCCTGTTTAACGGATCAAACCAAATCAGCGATTGTACTCAAGTCTTGTGAAGTGTCTGTTTTTATTGCGAAATTTACGATTTCACTCTTAAAAATGATGTTATGTATCCTATTGAAAAGTAGATGCAGCCTCAATTCTGTATTAATGACAGGGTAACGTTAACTTGATAAAGTGTACATAATTTATACTCTGTATTTAAATATGTACTATAGGTAATGTACCTAATAGATATATGTACATACATACATATGCAGAATTCAGAGCGCATTTACTTTTCAAGTATATCATTAATCCTAAGTATTTTTAAGAGTGCATTATTTTATTAAAGGCGAAACTATGTGTTGACAGAAAATTAAGGCAATTGTCTGTAAGCCTTACATAAGTATTCTAGGTGGGAAATCCCTGAGAATCTCTCAGAGCCACATAAGCAACCATTATGGTTAATTATTCCCACACGTATGCATGAACAGTTTACATGTGTGTCTCCTTTAACCTCAGAGACAATGAGTTGATTCCGGATAAATAACCTTGTAACTTTTGCTCTCGTAAAATAACTTATGAAACTGGCGAAAATGGGAGGGTAGTCTTTTGGACATCATTTGATATAAACTGATGTCGAAGGCATTACATAATGCTTTCAAATGTAATATGCATAGGGCGGATATGTATGTACTTAAATTTCTCAAAATATGTATGTAATATGTGCTTAAAAAACACGAAAATATGCAAATAAAACATTTTTCTATTGTAATTTTCTACTGTATTTAAATTTAATTGTCCAAACCTTTAAACTTTTTAACACTCTTATCAACGAATTATTAAATATATCATTTTAATCTTTATCTAATAACCCATAATGCGACATTAGTTATACTTAGAGATTTTCAGGTGTAATTTTTTTACTAGAAAAATCGGGCAAACTGGATTTGCTAGTCGTTCACATGAATTGAACACCATTATCATGAAAATATAATTTTGAGAAAACTTTAACTTCTGAATAAAGAAAAATATTTTCACATAAAAAACCTCGAAATATGTATTCAAATAATTATTTTTAGAAAAAGGCTCGAATATGTAGGAAAATATGTGCATGTACGAAAAAAAACTCAAAATAAGTATGAAAATATGCATATGTACGAAAACCCTAAAATATGTAAAATATGGAAAACAATGTTTGAATTTTTGAGATCACGCTTCGATGGGATAACAGTACACAAAGTTTTAGTACGATCTGATTTGATATGAAAAAGTTAGAAATACATGCATATCCGCCCTCTGGTAATATGTAAGCATCATATAAAGCTTACATACATATGCACATATGTATTACATATTATGTACACATGTATGCATGCCTGATGAAGTGCTGATCCCTTATGGGTGTACATATATGAGCTGCATAAATGAATCTTGAAGTAATTAGTTATGTATGTATAATAGAATTCTTAAATGTTTCAGTAGTCAAGTTTTTTAGCTTCAGAGTAGCGACGAATGGGCAAATGCATACATGTGTACGTGCACAGTTTTATGGTGATGAGACTGCGTAATGAGGGGGTGCGTTATATACATATGCATATTTATTATATGTGCATACATACATCCATATTTGTATTACATCTAAAAAATTCCATTTTGTGCATATGTATTAACGTGCCATCGTATGTGGGTTTTGAGTTTGAATTGTTGTGCCTTAACTTTCCCTTCTTCCATATATTCAAAGGACTATTTTGAAACATATTCGTCTCCGTGGGTTTTTGGCAATATGAAGATTTTAATATAGCCAAAAATCAATATTTTTAAGGTTTACAAAGTTACGAATGTAGAATTTTACTTTGTTTCTTCAATGAGAAAATATTTAATTGTTACTGATTATTTTTTATCTATTTTCTATTATTTTTTCATGGAAGAAAAAAATTAAAATTCTACCCTTGTAACTTTGTAAACCTAAAAGATTACGATTTTTGGGTGCACTCAAATCTTCGTATTGTAAAACAAAACTGCGGAGATGCTAGGTTTCAAAATAGCCATTTGAATATATCGTCGGACTAATTCTAAAACTACCTAAGTGCAGTCTCATCTTAATTCTAAAACTACGTAAGTGCACAACAAAAACAAGGGAAATAACCTAATTACAATTCCAAAATAATATGCAGTTAATTATTTACGCAAGATCATACTATAAACTTAAACATGAAAATTAACTGCATATTATGTTCGAATTGCAGATTGCAGTTAGGTTACTTACTTTGTTTTTTGTGCACTTACGTGGTTTTAGAATTAGTTCGACGATATGGAAGAAGGGAAAATTGAGACACAACAACCAATAAACCCAAAACTCACATACATATGTACAATGGCACGTAAAATTATTTCCCGTATTAACTCTGGTAGGAGCATTGTGTGGAACAAAGAGTTGTAAGGTGCTTACAAAAGTATGCACGTATGTACATATGTTAATTGGCCAGGAACCTGGTTTGTTATATAATAGTGAACTCATGTATAGGCTCTGGATTTACATACTACAGTTTACATAATATGCACAGAATAAAATTTTGAGTGGAGGTGGATTTACTATCAAAATGATCACATTGTTTTTAAAAGTGAATGTAGCTTAAATTGATATCCTATTCTCACTAAATTGACCATGATAAATATGTACATAGATCTATGTACATATGGGATCAGATTAGCGTAAAAATTAATCTTCTAAATTTGATTACGTATATTTGTACAACAGAACTTTTCATATGCACATATTTTTCATAAATACTCTACAATTTACAGAACTACAATCATATCTTCCTCGTCAGTAGTAAATTAATCGTATTATTTGTCACTCTAACCACAAAATTGGCAAAATATTCCATCCGAATCGCTTCTTGCATCGATTTTTTTCCCCAAAAAAATATCCACCTTCCGCAGAAGATTGGAATATCGAACAACCGGAGGGACATTGTCCCTTTCCCCCACACTTCCGTGGTCGCTGTGCACTTTAGTATATAGAAAATATTCGAGCAATCATGACCCCAAATACTGAATAAAGTGGTTGCAAAGCATAAATCGTAACGTCACGTTTGTGCATCTAGTCATGTAAATAATTCCATGAAAAACGAATTTCATGAGCCATGAACAAAGACGAAAAGCAATAAAATCACGTCATCGTCATCCCACATCACGCAAATCATTAGTGTTGAAGTGTTGTGTCCAAGTGTTGAACTCAACTTACAGTAGAGACACAGTGTGAGACACAGTGTGCTTCAGTTCAGCACTTGGACAACAAATCATCTGTTCAACGTATGTGTTTGCATTTATATCATTCATTACATTTAAATTGATTTTTGGTGACTTTAATCACTGTTAATATTTGATTTGACAAAATTAATCATTTGCAGATTTTTAGAGTCCTTGTGGCGAATTTTGTCGTTATCATTCCAACTTTTAGTAATTGTAAGTGGTATGTAAGTAAGTATCCTAATATTTTCGCAGGTAAATAATATCTTGAAATTTAATTGACGCACTAATTAATTAAACTTATATAGATAAGTGAGTATGGACTCGTCGTCGTCGTCCTGGGTGACTGAGGGGAAGCCAATTAAAGGCGTCCTTCTCGACATTTCTGGAGTTTTAAGGGATGGAAATTCCGCAATTCCCGGTTCACTGGATGCCTTCCATAAGTTCGTTAAATGTGGTATTATTTCTTAGAATAGTTAATTAATTAATTAACTGTACGACAGATTGGTCCAGTCCGGGATTCAAGTACGCCTCGTCACCAACGAGTCGCAGGTCACGAGGAAAGACAGTCTTGATAAGTTGACCCGGCTTGGATTCCAGGGGCTTCAATTCGACAAAATTTTCGCCCCGGCGCCACTTTTAGCGGAAGAATTAGTACGACAGGGTCACCGTCCTCATCTCCTGGTTCATCCCAGGGTAAAATTTCCTACACTCTTAAAAATCCAATATGAAACTTATACCATGTTATGTATTCATGTATGACTCTACCAAAATGGGATTGATAAGTAATACCGTGTAGTAATAGCTCAGTATTAAAGTTTGCCATATCGGTAGCAAATTTTTACGAACTGGTACAATTTTAATACCAAGCGGTAGCAACTTTAATACCGAGAAATCAATACCTGCCTGACTATGTTAGATTTCTAATAGGTAGCGTATTTAAAATGTAGAACATTCCTCCAGGTCAAACCAGAATTTGCCATCATTCCCGATCTGGACTCTAATGAGGCGGCGACATGTGTCGTAATTGGCGATGCCTGTGAGCATTTCACATACGATGGGATGAATACAGCCTTCCGAACATTACTCGACACCCAGAAGAGAGGTCTCGAACCGAAACTGTTCACTTTGGGGAGGGGGTAAGGATATTATTTCCAGAATTTCTAATTACGAACAATTTGTAATTAACGTTAAATGATTAAATTTTTACAACAGACGATTCTACAGCCACGACCAGCTCCTCTGGTTGGACGTCGGCCCGTTCTGTGCCGCCCTCGAGTATTCCTTGAACATCAAGGCGGAATTATTTGGAAAGCCGTCAAAGATCTTTTTCGACACGGCCGTCGCGTCCATGGCGTCGGATGGAATTTCGCGAGACGAAGTAATTAAATGCAATATTGAGATTTTTTGACGATTTTGATTTACTTATTTTGTTATTATCTTTTTTTCAGATTGTCATGATTGGTGACGATATCATTGGCGATGTAAAAGGTGCTATGGACGCTGGAATGCGAGGTGTGCTTGTCCGAACGGGAAAATTTCGAGCAGCAGTAGACGAAAATCACGTGTCGGTGAAGCCTAGTGGAATCGTGGACGATTTAAGGGCTGCTGTAGACATGATTTTAAGTTAAACTTCGTACATGTTTAGCTAAATGTTTGTTTGATAATTGAGGATTTCCCAGTTCAGCTTCATTACTAAATTAACGATGCATAAATAAGTAAATACATATTTATATGTAATAGAAGTTAATTCCTGAAACAAATATATTTTTCACAAATTATTTTGCAAAACAATTTTTACTACGTATTTAGTATGCATAATGTACAGCTAATTTAGCAACTGCCTCCTCAATCTTGAAAAGTTTTATGCACATAAATACATATTTACATTACATAGGTACGTATGTATTTATCTAATTTGCACAATGTATGTCAGCCCGTATGCATGCATGTACATATGTACATAACATTATAAACTTCAACATTGTTTTATGCATTCCGAAGTAAGTTGCAAATATCAGAAAAATATTAAGAAGTCCAATTCAGACAATGTAAAATGAGCGAATGTAATCTATCTAGTAATAAATACATAGTCTTAAAACCAAGAATTGAATTTGCTGAATCAAATATTCATTCGCTTAATCGTACTTAAACATTTTAAGTACATACATACGGATATATGTATTAATCTGCTAGAGATACTATCAAAACAAATTTTTTATTGTTGACGATGAGATTGAGTACCATAGTATTGGTTCTTGCTGCCAGTTGACGTACGTATCTATGTACATAAATATGCATTTCTTCCATAATTTCTAAGTAACAGTAAAAATGAAAAATTGTTATTACGCCCCTTAAATTGTGTCATGTCCTATTTATGAGAGTAGCAATGTAATTAATTGAGTCAAACAAAACTGCCAGATCTGCAGAGATGTCGTGCTGTCGAAAAAATTACCATATGACGGTGTCCATACCAAACCTTGAAGCCTTGGCAGCTGGATTTTTTATTTTTGACTTTCCATCAAAAATAGGTCACAGACCATGAAATTAGTGTAACAGAAGAAAAATTTTGAAAAAAGTTGCTACAGCCCTACGTAACGACCATTTTTGTGATCTAGAGTAGGGTTCGTGGTACGGCGATTTTTTCGCCATTGTTTGACCTAGAAAGCTGAAATTTCGGATTCTACACCGTCTTGAGTGTCCCCAGGCGGGACTTTTTCGTTTTAAGGTCTAATGTCGAAAATGACCTCAGAACCGGTCACTTTTCGACATGCACATTTTCCCATGGTTTTATACATATGATGTCAAGTCTCAAATAACCCCATAAATGGGGTATCATTGGAAAGGTCTCGACAAGTGGATTCAGAATATATATACTTTGTGGGGTCTGGGACCACCCCCTGATTTTCTAGAAATCAAAAAATGTTGAGAGTTTTGGGATACAAAACTTAACACAGGAGCAGATTGAGAGCCAACAAAGCAGTACACCGACGAAAACTAAACTTTACTCATTGCCCTCTAACTTATCAGGGGGTGGTCCCAGACCCCACAAAGTATATATATTCTGAATCCACTTGCCGAGACCTTTCTCACGATACCCCATTCATGGGGTTATGTGAGACTTGACATCATATGTATAAAACCATAGGAAAATGTGCATGTCGAAAAGTGACCGGTTTTGAGGTCATTTTCGACATTAGACCTTAAAACGAAAAAGTCCCGCATGGGGACACTCAAGACGGTGTAGAATCCGAAATTTCAGCTTTCTAGGTCAAACAATGGCGAAAAAATCGCCGTACTACGAACCATACTCTAGATCACAAAAATGGTCATTACAGGGGGTTGTAGCAACTTTTTTTCAAAATTTTTGTTCGATTACACTAATTTCATGGTCTGGGACCTATTTTGGATGGAAATTCAAAAATAAAAAATCCAGCTGCCAAGGCTTCAAGGTTTGGTATGGACACCGTCATATGTGATCCCTATTTTTGTCGGTTGGCACGCTGCTGCCCATTTCATTACAAACTTTGAATGTCCCCAATATGCCCGAAGTGACGAGATAAACTCGCACGATTTCGTAAACGGATACGAGCAAAATTTAAGTAGGAGTTGAATAACTACGAAAATATCGAATGCTACGATACAGAATAATGTAGCGATGGGGGTTGGAAGTTCGCCCATTGAGGAAATCAGAGTATAACAAGCAATTATTTCTACCATAATTAGCATCCCGATGACTGCCGGCATTGCAGAATTACGCCAAATTTCGTTAAACATATTGTTCAAGATCTGGACGCTTGTGTAATTACGGTGACTCGGGATAGAGCGCAGATTGTTTCGCGAGACCAAAGTTCTGAAAAATATACAATATTTACTGCCATCAGTTGAAATTTCCCAACAATTAAAAATACATGGGATCATTATTGGCAAATGGATATGGATGTATGTATGCATCAGGACCAGTGCGGTTTTAAAATAAAAGTTGTAAAATTTCAAAATGACCAATTCAACTGTCTTATCGGATACTTTTTTCGAGTTCGACCTGCTATATTTTTAGATGTAACTAATTACCTTATCAAGAATATTAGTTTTTCCCGAATAACTTGCACCGGATAGAACCAAGCAACCAATCCAGTTATTGTTACCCCACAGCACATGTGCATCCAGGTGTATGCGATCTGCACAGCAGAAATTAGCCTGACTAAAATTCCAATGTCGTGGTCCACTCCTAACCAGGATGAGCAAGACGAGTGCAAAAGTCCTGTGATCGCAGGAGGCATACAAAGTGTCACAACTGCCATGACAAATAAGGACGCGGGAGCCAAAACTGTAGAAATCTGCAAGCCTACACTGCTTGCTGCGAAGAATCGATAACTCCATGACGTGCAGCGGTGCCCTGAAAAAACATGAGTTCAATTTTAAGAATCTGAGCATGAAGGTGATGAAACCCCATTTTAATTTTCAAAACCCATATTACCCATGGAATATTGAACTAGGAAGGGTTTCGTAAATGACACGTTGGACCAATTGATATCATGTCAGTGATATTATCTGATCTCACATGGAGTCAATTAATTTACGTGCAATTAAACAATTGAATTGGTACATAAGAAACATAACTATTTAAAGTAACAAGTTTAACTAAAGCCAAATTAGGCACAATTTTATAAACAAAATTGCCCACTCGACTCAGGGATTCGAAACCTGACCTGAGTCGTCCGAACCCCATCCCTAATTTGAAGGATTCTGCCATACCGACTCCGAGTCTGAATCACACATTTTGGGATTCGACTCCGCCTGAATCCGGATTCATGAGAAGGACTATCTATCGTATTTATTATAAATAGTATTTACCTTCTTTTAAAATTCCTGCTTCCATACTAATTGACGAGTTGAACAAAAAAACTAAATTACTTTTCAACCAAATGCATCGCAGACAGCCAGCCATTAAAACAACATAGACGGTCAAGAAATAGAACATTACGACGAGTTGCCACCTTTCCGTAGGAAATCGGGTGAGAAACGACACACAGAACCAGGATATGTTTAGGATTAAGTGCAAGAGTACGTTCGACCAGGTGAAAGTTGACAGCAAAATACTCCAGAGCGATGCCGTTAGCCGGAACTTCCCAAACCGGAAATGAGCCGGGTATGGGGAGAAGAAGAAGTATATTTTTGCGAGTCGCGTAACTATTTTAATGTTCGAGTCAGGAAGCACAATTGAACGCCAAGATTCGTAGGTGAGACGCGTCGAAAGCTTGATAAGATTCAGGAATCCTTCAGAAATCGGGGCAGCAAGCATTTTAGAAATTTCTTTGCGCTTTCAAACTGTGGATGTCAGTGGTATGCTTCGCTATTCTGTAAAGTAAAAAAATACATATGTCCCAAATCGCTAAGCGAGGAAGGAAATATAAGAATAGTTTTTCAATTATTGAACCTTTTGTTGCGTGATGTTCTGATAGATTCACTTGGTAAATTGCTTTTTAAATATTTATATAAATTTGGAATTGCATACATACGTACGTATGTACATACATATATACACACACACATACATATATATATATATATATACACACATACATGTAATACGTACATGTAGATGAATGCATAATGCTTACTACGGTTAGAGAACTCAATTTTCAAAAATTGAATTATATTGTTTTATTTCTTGATTAATAACTATATCTACGGGATAACAGGATATTTTTTGAATCTTGATTTTATTAAATCAATAGTCGCATACATACATACATATATACTCCAGAAATCTTTACAATCAAATAATACGTAGATAGTTTTGATATTAACGTCCACACGGGGGAGCGACCCTTCGTCTGCCACCAGGCCGATTGTGGAAAGGATCGTAGTCAAATCGGCGCAAACTCTGCATTTGAAGGGGGCCCATGGTATTGATCTGGGTATAGCGAAATCTAGGCTATCCAGGTCGAAGAGGGACACGCAATTACGCAATTAAAATTTATTAAAGATTTCTCCAAAATTTAAAAGGGAAAAGTAAATTAAATTATATTCCTTACATATTTGTTTCCACCATTGTTTTAAATACATTATTTATTGCATTGTTGCAAAATTATTTATCGTTGTATCTAAATTGGTCAACGATGATGCATATTTGTGTTCTTATTTACGAATACGGCAAGAAGATATCCATTAGTTAATTAAAATCAAATGTAAGTTAAAATAGTTAATATGTACGATTTAATATGGCAAAATTGTACTGTAATACTGTAAAATGGTTTTGATGGAAGTCTACATAGATTGTTGCTTTGCAATATGATGTGCAAATTATGCGATTAAATTTTCTGCCTGGGAAATAAATTTAAGCTGAGTTCTTATGAAAACGCACCTAATGTATCTACGGACTTCGGAAAATAATTATTTACTACATAAAAGCTGAGTATCATTGGGAGGATTTGTGTACGTGCATATTTGCATACATTGATTACTGTATTACTTGAAATAATTAAGGATTTCTTAATTACTGAGTGAGACAAGTATTAAGTAGACCCGTGGACAGCTTACAGGTTTTAGAGAACATGAGATATGTCGGAATCTAGCGGAAACCTTGACATTAAATATTCGAACATTCGCCATTCAAAGTAAGAAAGAAAGTAATCAAGTATTAACTGAGTAATAATTAATTAAATTAAATATTAAATACCAGGCAATCTTTCTGCATGCAGACTTATTTCAGGTACAGCCTCCATTGTCATAAAATTTAATACGTTCATGCTAATCTATATTAAATTATTATTGAAGAAAACATGTAATTATCATAATAACTACTTATCGACAATTTAAATCAACAAATGACTAATCTTCTGCGTACATACATACATACATAAATAATTGTGTAAATAAATGCATTGGACGAAAATGTCAAATGTTTTCAAGAATCTGACAATGAGCGTCATTTCGCATTAAGTGACGCTGTTCTGATCAACTTTGCATTGAAACCTGTTACCCTACACTGTTAGAAAGGTGGTATTAAACCATTACTGACCGGTGTAATGATTACACTACGGTAATAACGGGAATTGTCGTCTGGTAATGTTGTGGGCATTAAAAAATTATCACTCAAACAAAC